GCAGCCCTCGGTGTTGCTCCCGTGCCTCGCTCAGCCAGTGAGCGGGAACCGGTCCGTATGTGGGATCCGAACCCTCGGGCGGGAGCGCTGCCGTGCTTCCCAAGCGGCGCACTATCCAGTGCGCCACCGGGCCGGCCCCTATCAGACAATATTTTTGAGTGCCTAAGTCCTGTTTCTTCTTTGTTAGCTTCCCAAATCTGTTTCCACCTTTCCCTGCATGTTCTGTATCCCAGGAGGCCAACTCTTATGCACTAAGGCTCCTGTGCCAGTTGGCTTGTTGGCAGCAATAGCCAGTGGGCGGCACCTCTGTGATAGAAGATATAAGGGCCAGGTGGGGGTATTTTTTTCCCCTGTTCCCTCCCTTCTTTAGGTCATGTAACTGCCTCACTCCATGACAACAGCTCCTTCTGAGCAGCCCTTCCTTAACAGCTTCCGGCTCCCTCTGGGCTCTGGTAACATTTTGTCTCCTTGTTTCTTTAGTACTGGGAGTACTCTTGTTCGTTCCCTAACTCTGCTCACACCACCATGTCGAGTCCCTTCATTAAAGTTCTTTTCATTTGAACTTTGCAGGGCAATTTCTGTTGCCTGCTAGACCCTGATTGATACACTAAATATGTGTAGTAACCATAACTGAATGCAATGGTAATATTTGTAGTTCCTTAACTGAGGAGATAAAGCCCAACTAGACTGGTCGCCTAGAGGTTAGGATTATGCAGAAGTCCTGGTCTATAGTAGGCACTCAGTGACTGTTTTTTTCAGCTTAATGAAATCGTGAGTGAGTCCAACTGATTTGTACTGAGTAGTGCACTCTCCTGATGAGATTCTGCTCTCCTGTTGTTAAAAAGCAGCTTTTCAGGATTTCTCTTTCAGCACAGTCAGGGTGTGACAGCTCATGCTGAGCAGGGCAGTTCAACCCATGTCAGCTGTAATATTTAGTTAAATTTGAAGTCTGAACCCTTTATGTTATTTTTAAAGCATCCCCTCCCCCATTTATCACAGATTTTTCAAACTGGTTTCCATCTTATTTTTTTTTAATCCATCCAATAATATTATTTTTGAATTACAAAAGAATTACATCTAATTGTTAAAAGTGCAGATATTGCCAGAGAAAGACCTCTTCTCTCTCCACACCAGTTTCACTTCCCAAAGTTATTTTTTTAATAGCTTTCCAGACCTTTTCCTGTGCAAATATATTTTATATGGAAAGCTACACGTGGGTTTCATGCTTTTCTGTAGTTGAATTTAATATTTCTTTTAAATTCTGTGTTTTCTTCTAGTAGAGTTAATATGCATTTAGATTCTTAATTCATCTGGAATTAATTTTTGTATAAGATACAGAAAGAAGTTTTAATTTTTTTTCCAAAAATATAGCTAGTGATCCCATTATATTTTAACCAATAGTCTATCTTTCCTGCATTGATTTGAAATGCCATTATTATTGTGTAGAAAATTTTTTTAGTTCCTCCTGGGGCTGTTTCCACTCTCATTCTGTGTGTGTGTGTGTGTGTGTGTGTGTGTGTATTTAATCTGTTTTGCTGTTTGTGGCCATCTTATATCAATACTTGTTTAATATCAAGAAATTTGGATTTAGAATTATATTTGGATCTAATACTATGTGGAGTTATAATGAACATGATAATTTATTTTTCTGATTGTGGATGCCATTAAGTTTTATTTCATTGCTTTTATATTTAAGACTATAAAGTTGCCTCTAGAATTCAATTTGAGAGTTATTTTTTTATTATTATTATTTTTTTTCCTTTTTGTCTTTTTTTTTTCGTGTCCGGCAACGGATCGCAACCCTCAGTGTCGCGCCCGCACTGGACCAGGACCGGCAACGGGATCGCAACCCTCGGCGTTGCTCCCACACCTCGCTCAGCCAGTGAGCGGGAACCGGTCTGTATGTGGGATCCGAACCCTCGGCGGGAGCGCCACCGCACTCCCAAGTGGCGCACTGCAGCAGTGCACCACCGGGCCGGCCAAGAGTTATTTTTAATCTGAAGAAATATTTTTCAGAATATGAAATTTGAGTGTAAATGTTTTGTTTGTCTCTGCTGCACAGGATCTACTGAGATAATGAACACGAGTGTTATTTTTTTGTATAGACTTTCTTTCTTTGACCTAAATTAAGTATTTAAAGTAGTCCTTTCATTCAACTACCCATTATTATTTTTGTTTTCAACTTATTGCTGAGTCAGTACTTAACTGTTTCTCTTCAGAAAGTGGAGTAAGTTTTTTCCTAAAAAAAATCAATAATGGGCCGAGCCCGTGGCACACTCGGGAGAGTGCGGCGCTGGGAGCGCAGCGACGCTCCCACCGCGGGTTCGGATCCTATATAGGAATGGCCAGTGCGCTGGCTGGGTGAGCGCGGTGTGGGCGACACCACACCAAGGGTTGCGATCCCCTTACCGGTCACGAAAAAGACAAAAAAAAAAAAAGACAACCAAAAAAATCAATAACAAATGGCTAAATTATCTGAGAGTACACTGAAAACTATGAAAGCCTGATCTTTTGTGCTTTTTCTGGACGATTTTTGATGGTAGACTTTCTCTTGGCAAATTATTGTATAATTTGCTTAATCATTTCCGTAAGCTGGGTATCTTGGTTGTTCCTTTTTTTCTTCTTTAAATAGCACTTTTGTAAACATCTTTGTACTTCATTCAACATTCAAAGAATTGTTGAATCTGTGAGAATCGATACAGTGAGATAGTATTGATCTGTAAGCTAAGATTCCTGCTAGGCATCAGAAAGTCCTGCTAGGAATTGGAAATACCACAGAGAACAAGACAAAGTCCCTGTCCTTAAGTAAACATTTTGAATTTGTCATTACCCCAACTCTCACCCTCTCTGGATTCACTGAATAGGAGCACTGTTCGCCCTCCTGCCCAAATCATATAATACTAATATAATACTAAATATATTTAGTATTAACTTTGCCTTCTCTTCTTTTAGCATCCACATCTAACAAGTCACCAAGGCCTATCAGTTCTACCTTTTTATATCTCTCAAATCAGTCAGTGCATTACACTTTGCCTCAAGTCCCATCATTTCACATCAGGATGACTATAACAGTCTCCTAATTGGTCTGCCTCCGGTCTTGACCCCCTAGATGTTCTCCACAGTGCTTTTGAGCCTCACTACATTTCAGAGAGCTTTGTAGTTCCTTGAGCCACCATAGTCTAATGCCTTTTCTCTGAATTAGTCAAAAATGAAACAAAAAACTGTGTTGCTTACATGGAACAATTTGAGCACTGGGCTAGACTTAAGACATAAAAGACACGCTTTCTTTCTTGCTGGGACTTACACTCTGCAGTAATATAGATAGGCTACCACAATACAGGGGAGAGAGAAGATGATTCTAGGAAACTCATCTGACACATCCAGCTTTGCTCCTCCTGGCTGTCAGGAACACTAACTCCCCATTCAAAAACCAATTTGTCCTTGTTGCTCAAGATTTATTCGAAGGAACCATGAATACCAGGAGGTGGGAATCATTTCAGAGGCTGTACCATTATTATTAATATCTCCATTGTACCTCGGGCACAGAGAGGTTAAACAGTGTGCCCAGGATTACACACAATTGGTGTAAGTGGCAGAGCTGGAATTTAAACCCAGCTAGTCTAACTCCAGAATCCTGGCTATTACACCATACAGTCTCCCTGTATTTAATTCTGTGAAGAAACCTTAAGCCTAGTCTTAGTTTCCAGTTAGTTCATTCAATTGGGCATGCTGCTGATAACACCAATGTCAAGGGTTAGGAACCCCATACTAGCCAGCTGCCAAAAGAAAAAAAAAAAAAAGGAAAGAAATTTAAGCCTACAAGGAGCTTAAGTGACTGGCTCAAGATCACACATACTCCTAACAACTAAGGAATGCTCTCATATATATAGTATAATCTAATGATTCCTAAACCTGGTTATCAAATTAAACTGTGGAGCATTTTTTAATTACTTAGAATTTTTTTAATAGGTAATACATTCACATGTACTTGAGGAAATATACAATGAAAAATTAGCTTCTACCGAATAGGCAAGGGTATGATAATGTTTATTTAAGTGAACTTAGTTTATAGCTCTGCTATATACAGCAGTCTTATTTTCTAAAATTTCTATAACAGCACTGCTTTCATGTACTTGTTTTCAATGGAAAATTTTTATATATGCGTAAAATTTAATTCTTTGTAGAATTTTCAAATGAATAATCTGTATTTAAATTATTTATGTAAATACATTTTTTTGATTAGGTGGGTCTTATATCTTAATTTTTTATTGGAAAAATTATCACAATGTAGACAATATTTTTGATAATGTTTTACTCAGAAACTGATCCTTGCTGCCAAAAAAAACGTAACCCTCCTTCCCTCTTTATTCCTGTCCCTTGGACTTCCAAGACCCACCTATGAAGACAGCTACTGGTATCAAGAATTTTTTTCAACCTGAAGACAGCTACTGGTATCAAGAATTTTTTTCAACCTTCTAGGAGTGTTCTGTCCTATACAAGCATATACATATATCTGTTTATGCACTCACACACACGAACACACATACGTAACAATTGGTAGCATTTATACATACTATTCTGCACTCTGCTTTCTAACCTTAACTGTACGTTGGAGATTATTTTTTCTTGGCTCTTCCTATTCTTTTTAACCTTAGTACCCTATTGATAAACATTGAGGGTGTTTCCGGTCTTTACTATGACAGTGAGGTTGCATTTACTCCCCCTTATATATATGTCATTTCACACATTGGTGTATATCTATAGGACAAGTGGAATTGCTAAGTCAAAGGGTATCTTCATTGTAATTTTAATAGATACTGCCAAATTGTCCTTCATATGGGCTGTTTTCTAGTTTATACTTTTCCAACAGTGTACAGAAGTGCCAGTTGCCCTGTTATCCTCACTAATACACTGTGGTCAAACTTAATGATCACAGATTATTTTATCGATAAAAAAAAATACCTCATTTGTTGTTTTGGAAACAGTGGTTGGAGCATCAAATGTTGGAACATTAAGTATTGTTTGGAGCATCTTTTCATATGTTGAATTTGTATTTACATTTCCTTTTCTATAAATTGTATATGCCCTTTGCCAGTTTTTAACTGGGACTTTTTCTTTCTTTTTTTTGATATACATTCTCCTACATATTGAGAAAATTAGTTCTTTCTCTGTGACATATTGCAAGTATTTTTCTCAGATTGTCGTTTGTCTTTTGACTCTGTTTATAGTGTTTTTTTGCCATGCATTTGAAATGTTTATATAGTTAAATTTATCAATTGTTTCTCTCGAGGTCTCTAAGGGACTTCTTTAAAGGAGTTAATAGTTATTTGATTATAAGATAAATTCTGGTATATGGTATAGAAATATCACAGGCTTTAGATGTAGGTATGCCTGAGTTCAAATCTCAGTGTTGTCATTAATTAGCTGGTGATCTAAGACACGTTATTTAACTTTTTGAATCTGTGTTTCCTCAGATGTAATATGGAAAACTTAGATAGCTCACAAACTTTTTTGTCTTTCTGGTGAGAATTAAACAAGATAATGTCCTGATACATTATAGGTATTTAATAAAACTACCTTTTACTATGTTTTTATATTTAAAAAAAATCAATAATATTTTCATAGTCAAACTTTGTATATTTTACTATATTATTTTGGTTCCCAGAAACTTAATAGGAAAATATCTTAATTGTTAACAAAATACATATTGAACAACTGTAGTAAAAATTATTTATGAAAGTACATACCGAGTAAATATACTAACATAAAAAATTCCTCTCTCAGTTACAACCATGCCTAAGGTCTTTCCTTGTAAAAAGAGTTCCGAATCTCTTATTTTCTTAATTTGTATTTTTTCTGTTCTTAGCCAAAAAAAAAATCCTAAACAGAGCTATTTCATTTTTTTCCTACCAAGTATTAAAATAAGTGAAATTAACTGAAAAGGGAATCTACCCGTTAGTGGATTTCAGAATTATTTCCTGTTTTCAAATATAAGTGGAAACCATTTTAGAGTTGGGTAAATGTTTATTTAAAGCATATTTAGGCCATTAGTACAGAATACTTTTATAGTGTTAGAGCCTTTTTTAAAACAGCTTTTGCTTCAGAAAGCAGCATAACATTAGTAAGTGTTTATCATATATACATGTATTTTTGTTTGCTTTTCTAGGGTGGCGTACCTACAGTCAAAAAATTTCAGTAAAACAGATATTGCACAGATGGTCAGAAATGCACCATTTTTGCTGAGTTTTTCAGTGGAAAGACTGGATAACAGATTGGGATTTTTTCAGAAAGAACTTGAACTTAGTGTGAAGAAGGTAAAGAAAAGGGGAGGATTTATACATTTGCATGTCACATACATTTAGTAGCTATTAAATCTCTCATGTTTCTAATAGATGCCTGGCCCATATGAATCCTATAAATCCTGGTATTTTTTGTACAGATATGAATTACCCTGCTAGGTTAAACATAAAGCTGCATCTTTTTATAATATTCTATCAAATTGGTTCCTTAAGTTTGTTTTCAGTATTTGTTTTTCCCTCGAACAGCATTATGCATATGTTCATTTCTCTGATTGAGCCATATTTAACATTTTAACTTTGTATTCCTAGTAATGCCTTAGTTTTCCAAAGTTAAATATGCACATATAGTAATAATAGATTGTTTTGTTTATAACTAAAGACTAGAGAGCTGGTAGTTCGTCTCCCAAGATTACTCACTGGAAGTCTGGAACCCGTGAAAGAAAATATGAAGGTAGGACAACTTCGAGCTTTTGAGAAATCAGTTTCTTTTTTTTTTTCCTTTTTGTCTTTTTTCGTGTCCGGCAACGGATCGCAACCCTCAGTGTCGCGCCCGTACTGGACCGGGACCGGCAACGGGATCGCAACCCTCAGTGTTGTGCCCTCACCTCACTCAGCCAGTGAGCGGGAACCGGTCTGTATGTGGGATCCGAACCCTCGGCGGGAGCGCCACCGTGCTCCCAAGTGGTGCACTGTAGCAGTGCGCCACCGGGCCGGCCCCTAGAAATCAGTTTCTTTGTTTAAGTGTTTAAGTCCTCTGAAGAGAACAGATTTTGCTATTGTCATCTTAAAGAAAACTAGATTTTTAAAGTTTTCCTAAAAAGATAGAAATAGGAAATTATAAAACAAATACATAGCAAGCAGTTTTTCCACTTAGTCATGTTTTCACATGATGACCAGATGTTACATGAGTAAATCATCTTGCAGACATTGGTACCCACAGTCCTAAAATAATGGATTAGGTATATGGGTGGTGGTACCTGGAAACTGCTTCTGTTGCCCAGCATAGGAGTCTGTGACCATGTAACCCAGTCTCCTTGACCAGTCTGTGAAACTGCTTTGTTGTCCAGCATAAGGGTCTGTGTCTGTATCTAGGGGAGTCTGGAGGCTGGATCTGAAGACTTCTGTGAAGAGAGGAGTGGCCAACACATTGCTCTCATTAGCACCGGTGCCAGCTGCTGGCCTGGCTCTATCATAGTACTTACCAGACACTCTACTGTCCTTCCTCAAAGAGAATAGTGTGAAGCCAGGGGACACTGATGAATTAGTATACAAAGCTGTAGTGGTATTTGAAATTATTATGGAAGGTCTATTTTCTGACATGCTAATGTATTTCATATTCAGTCACTGAAGAAATTTTTATTGACCTCCTTGCCCAAGCTCTCTGCAGGAAAATAGTCAGTCCCTGCTGTCATGGAGCTTACAGTCTAGTGGGGGATAAAATACAGTGTGATAAGAGCAATGGCTTGGTGGGGGAGTATAGGATACTGTGAAAGCACATAGAGGGCCTAACCCCTGTTTGGGTGTTTAGTTTTATCATCTCTGGAATTTTGACATATAGTTTTTCAGGTAACATGTATGTGGGTGTGCTTGGGAGCAGAAGCTCAGAAAGCACTTTAAAAATCTTATTACTGGTCTGTTTGATGTCAGGCCCATACAGTTAGCCTGACCAGCCCTCCCTTGTATACCATTATTCTACCTCATAGTTATGGGGATCTTCATGATGCTCACCATGCTGTGAGTAGCTCATTCTCAGGAGGAGTGTTCGAAATTCAGGTTATCCCAAGAGCAGGAAGCTATAATCTCTTGAGGGCATTGGCATAGCTATCTCTAGATTTTAAAATGCCCTTATTTTAAATTTTAAAAGAATTGATATGTCTTCTGGCATAGTACAAAAGTAACTATTTCTATATATGATTCATAGAAAATTTACTTTCTTTTAGGTTTATCGTCTTGAACTAGGTTTTAAACGTAATGAAATTCAACATATGATCACCAGAATCCCAAAGATGTTAACTGCAAATAAAAGGAAACTTACAGAGACTTTTGATTATGTGCACAATGTGATGAGCATTCCCCACCACATCATTGTCAAGTTCCCACAGGTAATGCCACCCACAGTTGTCTCTGTAAGAGCTGCCATTGCCCTGCATTCGGAGCTGATCTTTGGGTTCACAGTGTTGTTCACTTGGGAAAAGTTTGCAACTTCCAGGGCACACATGTACATCTCCAGAGGAGAAATCGGTGATTAATTTGCTTCCCTGTAGTTTCTGTCTACTAGTTTGGCCTGTTGGAATCAGGCGGGACAAAACTAGCCTCTGTTATGCTTTTCTTCATTTAAATTTGAAATAGATCACTTCCCTTGAAGATCCTTTCAATGTTACATGTAATTTTTCTTCACCATCTATCTAAATTCATGAATTAACAAGCCATATTGTAACGATCTCCTACCAAAGCATGAAATAGTTCCAGTTTCCCAACATGCGAAAGCCTAATTATATTTTCTAACTGATCAGACTTTCATATTCTTTACCTAGTGAGTGATATTATCTGCTATTCACAAGAATATTAACTCTTTGAAAGCAGAGATCTTATCTGATTTATTTACTGCCAAATCCCTAGTGCCTGGAACTATACCTTGCACTTAGTAGGCGTGTAATAAATACTTGTTGAAGAAATGAATGATTGAATTTCATCAAACTGATCCTTCTTTCCTGTTTGCCATGTGTTCAGGCACTCAGTAAATATTTATTGAATAAATGACAGACTGAATTTTATTAGTGATACCTCTACTCCATTTGCTTGGTATGTTCCTGTTCTTGATATAAAAATGGGCAAAAGAAATACGACTAAGTTAATACAACTCAGAACTAAATTGCATTTAGTCCAGTTCCTTCACACACATACAGCAATGTTTATTTGCCTATCTTGCCTCACTGTGAATGCGCCCTTAATATAGTATTTTCCTGTTTCACCAAATGCAAATATAATAATTATAGAAGTGTTAGAAGCCTACAATTGTGTGAATTTTGCTTATGGAGCAATTGTAACGTAAGCAATCTTTAACTAAAAAGCAATGACAATTTATTTTTCCATGGGTTGGTAGATAATTCAGTGACAATAAGAGAATCTGACCATGTCACCTCCAAATCCTAGTAGTCCAGTCATTCTTTCAATATATATTTGAGCATCCACGCAGTGCTAGACACCATGTGGGCACTAGTAAAGATACAAAAATCAATCAGTCATGGTCTGTATTCTTGTGGAACTTGCAATCTAGCATGGAAGACAAGTTTTAAAAATGTAATTGCTTTACATAATGGTAAAGGGTTTTAACAAGAGGTCTTACAGAGTAATTAATATAAAAGAGGTAGGAAAATCATAGAAATAATTAGAACAGCTATTGAGTGCATACTATGTGCCAGCTCTGTCTTTACTGCTTTACCTGTATTAACTCATCTAATTCTCAAAACAACCACATGAGGTAGGTACTATTATTATCTCTATTTTACAAATCGAGAAAGTAATCATGAAGAGATTAAATAACCTGTCCAAGATTTACCCAGGGAACAAGGGGAAGAGCCGGGATTAGAACTCTGGCAGTTGAGTTTAAAAACCCATGTTCTTTACTGGACTATGCTGCCACTCTAAGAAGTGACATTTGAGTCATCAGTAGAATAATGAGTGGTGTTTAGAAGATGGAGAGAAACTTTTCAAGTGGAGGAAACTATAAGCTGAGCAGATGCATCAAAATCACTTGTTTAGAAACACAGGTTTTAGGCACCCAAAACCCTAGATTCTGGGAAGCCCAGTCATAGAACCGTGGCTTCCAAATTGAGATTTTAGAAGATGGAGAGAAACTTTTCAAGTGGAGGAAACTATAAGCTGAGCAGATGCATCAAAGTCACTTGTTTAGAAACACAGGTTTTAGGCACCCAAAACCCTAGATTCTGGGAAGCCCAGTCATAGAACCGTGGCTTCCAAATTGAGATTCTTAGACTCCTAGGGGTCTGAGTAGTATTGATAAAAAACAAAACAGAAAAATGAAGCTTATTAATTGAAAAACTATATTAACTGATTGTAAGGCTGTGAGGGAACTGATATAGACTTTAAATTTTGGGCTGCTATTTTAAAACTCAGTGGTGTGAAATTAATTTTCTCATGCAGATGAAAGTTCTGGTTGGCACATATGTCTTATGATTAATTAAAAATGGGGAATGAACTATATTTAATAACCGCAGTTAGTCATTTCAAAGAAGAGATCATTGAAGGTAAACGATAACAAAAGCAGTTTTAGGGTAATGAATATGAGGAAATCACTAGTCTAAAGAAAGAGGGTGTATTCAGGATCCCCCTAAAATCATTTCTCTCCCTTCCCATTCTGGGTTTCTGTGAAGGCAAAGCTTAAAGTCCACCTTAAGATAAGAGGGGATCCATAATTCTTAGGCTAGAGTTTTTTTGTTTGTTTGTTTTAACGCTTGAAAATTGAAAGCATCATTAACAGGATGAAATTTTTGTGACAATGGCAAAATGGCCCCTGGTGGTCAACAATTCCCTTCTCTCCCCCGCCAAAAAAATAAATAAATAAATAAAAGAGAAAAACTCAACCTGAGCTGTGGCTTTTGGACTTGAAAGAGCACACAGCTCTCTAATGACGAAGTAATCTTGAACCATTGGAGAAGTAAACATAATATCTGATCATAAGCTATATAAAAGCTTTAAGGTGTTGTTATATTCAGGAAATTAACAACAGTTTGGAAGCTTCAGAGTCATTTGTGGATTTGTCTGGATGTTGTATGATAATTTGTAAACCGAGTCACTGCATAGGAGCCGAATGTCCAGAAAAGAAAATCTAAAGCTTCTTTCATCTTTATTAACAGTAATAACATGGTAATAGGAATTTAGTTACCAAAATAAGGGCAGAATAACATGTAGTTTGTTTTTGCAGAGACAGAAAAGGTAGATGTTTTGTTCCAAAAGTAAGCCAATCCCATATTGAGTTAGCACCCTATACTTTCTTTTGATTATTGTTCTCAAAGTACTGTAGTTTTCAACAATTGTTTTTCATAGTATCCTTTCCAAGTGCCCTGTTATTACTTTGTTTCCAGTTGAACGTAAGGAAAGAGGCAGGGAGGTTATGTGCCATTTGGAGTGTTCCCAAAGTGTCTGTAATATAGCCAAGAGGGGAACTTGAAACCTAATACTGACTGTGGTTCATCTGGGCCTGGCCAGGGAGCCTCACAGATCTCTCAAGCTCAGGACTGTAGCTCAGGTCTGGCCAGATCTCCCAGTTCTCCTTTCTTGCAGCTGGCTATAGGGACTTAGCCTGCCATTCTACTCCCTAGGAGTTTTAACCCAAGGCAGGTAAGACATGCTTTCTCTGGTTGCTCCCCACAAAGGTCAAATTCATTTCATTTTGATTCTAGTAAGGGGAAGCAGCAGGAATTTTAAAAAAAGGGGGGGGGGAGGGGAAGCTTCACAGATTATGAAATCTTATACATTTTTTTATGACATAGGTCTTGGTCTCTAACATTGGTCCTCAAACTTGCCAGATATTAGAAACATATAGAGGGCTTGTTAAAACAGATTTCTGGGCCCCACTCTTAGAGTTTCTGATTAAGTAGTTTTGGAGTGAGGCCTGAGGATTTGCTTCTTTAATAGTTCTCCACTGTCCCTGGGGATAGTCAGTGTTCTTTGCCCACAGTTAGCCCTTAATTATTTTATTATTATCCTGTTTGTTGGTTTTGAGTCCCTTTAAAATCTTTATTCTTAACAGGAGCGGCATTTATCATATTTACTGAATGTATGGTCAATGCTTTATATTTGTTAATCAATTAAAATTTTTCAGCCAAAGAAACTTTTTAATATTTTATCTTTCAGTGTACAATGTTTTTTAAAAACTTTTTTTCTTTTCTAGGTATTTAATACAAGGTTGTTTAAAATCAAAGAAAGACACTTGTTTCTTACCTATTTAGGAAGAGCACAGTATGATCCAGCAAAACCTAACTACATCTCTTTAGACAAATTAGTATCTGTTCCTGATGAGATATTTTGTGAAGACATTGCCAAAGCGTCAGTACAGGACTTTGAGAAATTCTTAAAAACTCTTTAATTTTTGATGAATGTTAAATGTAATATTGCAAAGTGAATATATATATATATATATATATATATATATATATAT